TTTATTAGCTCCTCCTTTTGTCTCTTTTATTGTTCAAAGTATAATTTTTGACATTTGCAAACTGTTGAAAAAAAAACACAGGTTAAGAATTCTTGCTGAAAATTCTAAATGGCTGGAGGCGCAACATATGGAAGAAGAGGTTATGAAGAAAGCAGTTCATGAACGCATACACGATCACAAAGTTTAGGCGACATTTCAGTTGTCCTTCTTCCCCATAATTAAAGAGCTTAGATGTCTAAGTGATAGAGTTAGTCAAAAAAAAATCTGGAGGAAAATAATCACTTGCTTTAAGGATGTGAGATAACCACCCAGTGAACACTACATATCATGCATACGTTATGCATATATATATATATATATATGAGTTAGAACTACACCTTTTATGATGTAAAAGTGTTAATGCGTAGTATATACCTGAATTCAGTATGTTCAGCAAATATGCAAGTAAGCAACTGTTTAAAATCTACTAGCCGGTAAGAAAGATAAAAGCAGTCGAGAATTATTTGAATCAATAGCTTGTACGTAAAAGGGATATATAAATTATATATGCACAACGTATGCATGATAATGTAGTGTTCACTGGGTGTATATCTCACATCCTTAAAGCACGTGATTATTTTCCTCCAGATCTGTTTTTGATAAGCTGTTTTTCAACCGACAAAATGAATCACCTGTAGCCTGTTCATTAAGTTGAAAACAGACGAATGAAGCCTTTGAAAAATGAATAACTGTAGACAGTCAATTTTTACTTCATCAGCATACTACAAGTGGAACGTTTGCAAAGCATGAAACAATACTGCAATGGTACTTAAAAGCAAAACAGCTAAAGACGCCTAAAATATAATAATGTGTCAGATTAGCATGTCTATACAGTATGTGGTGGATGAAAGTTAAATTTATTTACATATATATATATGTATTGGGAGATACACTCAACTGCTTATTTCAGTGTATATTTGATACAACAAAGTAGTTAGTCATATAACAAAGATAAAACACACTAGGTAGCTATAAATTCATTAGACATGAAACAATAGACGATGAACCGTCAAAGTTATGCTGTAAATAAATTAGTCATCTTAACTAAACAAATTTTCATAAAATCCACTAATGAATACACGTAGAGTAATAGGAAAATTATAGAAACACTAAGTGTTTGTGGATTAAATATCTAAGCAGTCTCACACGTAAAAGTATGAAACAAGGCAGCTTTAGTAGAATTACTTTATTGTTAGTTTCCGAGTTTGGAATTCTTGTGCTACACCAAAGCTAAGTCAAATAGCATCGCGTTTATATTGATGATACTCCAAACGGGCCTTAAAAATGAACACTAATCAAGTCCCAGCAAAACTGCTTTCCAGGCGCTGGAAAGTAATCTACTTGAGTAATATATATATATATATATATATATATATATATATATATAAAGAGTTTGTTCATGATGCAATGAATTAGGATATTATAAATAAATTTGTAATACAAGTTTAAACACACTAATAAGTTTCTACATCATGGATATTTTTAGTAAAATAAACACGTCAGTGGGTGCATATTTTCATTTAAACATTTGCTAATAAAACAGAATGAGCATCATTAGTGTATGATGGTGTAAATATAATCTCACCAATGCTTCTTGCAGTTCTTCCCACCATCGATTTGTTGGAAGGCATTCAGTAGGGCAACATGCAGGGTAAAACAGAGAAAATAGTAACCTAGATTATAACTTACAGATAATTCATTATTTACTGAAGACTTGCATTCTGTACTGTCAGTGGTGTTCATTGTCTCCTTTCTAGTTTCACTATTACTCAAATGGATCTGATCAGTAGATTTTGAGTAACCATTCACATCTTTTCCAGTTGTTGTGGTCAAATTCTTAGATGTAGTATAATGAAGTGTTTTATTTGATTTTGTATACTTAACTGGCGAACTATGACTGAAGAACTAAATAAATAAATAAATAAATAAAAGTAATTTTTTTGTAAACTGATTAGAAAAATAAACACATTTGTATTATTTATTTTTCAAGTATTGGTTTTGTAGGTTTTTTTTGATTGGTTGGAGGGTTTCATCATGAGCTGGCATCAGTTAGACAACCATCTGAAAACCAGCCAAAGAGTACTAGACTGCTGTTTCGTCCTACTTTGTGACTCTTCAACAGTACGCACCCTCTACAGGGGGTTCGAACCCAGGACCTTCTGGTTACAAGGTGAGCTAGCTCGTAGATCCAATGGCCCATAAATTTTAACTTCTGCCAATTTTTGCAGAATTCAACTTGATAATTCCTACTCAGATTCCAATGAAGTGCTCGAGCTTCAAATGACAGTCATTCAATACACACACACACAAGTCTTTATTACTGATTGAATTATATCGAAGGGAAGTAAAGAAAAAAGAAAAAGGTGTCATTTACGGTAATATGAGAGACAGATCATTATCATCTAACCAGGAAATTGTGATCAACATCGCTGCATACCAACTTACTACCGTTACTGTAGAAAAATTAAGTGATATGAAATATACTGTATTTTCTAAAACAGATCAGCACCGACTTAAAGAGTTCATTGTTGTTGTGTTTTTTTTAATTCTGATGTTGAAAAACCTGTATTTCAGCTTATCTTCAAAATAAATATCTTAAGAAGATCAAGTAATTCTAACTTAAAGAGAAATTCTACCGGTCAAATTGTAAATCAACTTAGTGCACTTTGAATGCTTTTATTAAGCACAATCAATTTTATAATTTATTTACACGATGAGATTTCGTTTCGTAATTATTTACACTGAACTAGAGTTGAGATTACTGAATGCATACCTCGTAGATAGTTTAAAAAATATTTAAAATTAATGAACGAGGAAGTTGTGAAAATAAAGGACTCATATAAATAGGAAGAATGCCTAGTGTTTTTAATGTTATCCTTTAAGAAACATGTTGAAGTGGTAGGTCGATATAACTTTTTACAATAAAATGAAATTTAATAAAGACTGAGACTTCTCTTTTGTCACAGAAACCGGGATAAAATACCGTTTAAGTTTATTTATATATAAATACATACTCTTATAATTAGAAGACACAACTTAAACAAATACATTATTTTCAGTTATTTCCCAAATTGGATGGCAGACGGTTGATGCCAGTGTAGTCAGTAGAATTGAAGTTCACGTATGTGAATCAGTGAATCACATTAATAATAACAAGGATAAATTCCGACTAGTGTTTAAATAACATAGATGAGTCAATCATTGTAAGTGTGTAATTAGAATGTGCATCTTGTAAGGAAAGGGAGAGCGATCAGGTGATAGTGTTTACTTTTATAATAAATTCTGAATTCAAGATTAAAAGAGGCAATTATTATGATGATGATAATAATAATAATAATAAAGATAACGGTACAAATAGTTATCTGATATCACTAGGACAGAAAACGATTCTAGGTTATGGATGAAGGTTACATGAGGGCGATTGACTGCATAAACTTTTTCTGAACACAGACTAGGCTGAAAAATTATGACGGTATCTACCTCAGACTTAGCAATCGATGATATAGAAACCTTGAAAATTAATATGGTACCTTGTATAAAATGGTAAAGGCTGAATATTTACCAGTCCTCTCCTCCATATTCACTAGGTATGCGCCAGTGTGGATCTGCTGATTAACCTTACAATCCCTATTCCTCACCACGCTGGATAGCGCTGAAGAAAGCAACAATGGGCTGGCCAAATCGTTCTGCCTAAGTAAAAGTATTCACATTGAACTGGCCAGACTCGGTAGTTTATGCTTCACCTGTACTGGGATTATTACAGCATGTCGTGAATTTTAAATATATAGTGGTGAGGCAAAGAATGATTTAGTTATTATTATCTCGGTAGCCTTAGCCAAGCGTCAAGTGTTATGTGCCGATATAACAAAATGAAAAACAATTGACTAAATCAGAGTTTTCTGTTATCAAACTACTTTCTTATCTTTCGAACAATAGTACGACTATTCTTATCTAAAAATGAATCCACTAACGGCTTTATTTTTCACCCAATCTCTCAGTACGAAGCCGAAGCAATATAAGATGACAACTTTCGCTCATTCGAAGATGAGAAAGCCACTAATATTTTCTGAAAAAGGAGATAACATTTTGGTAGCGTTTTCTGTCAAGATAAATGAACCTATTCACTTTGATTATACATAATCATGTGATATTGATTAAGACATTTTCAAAACTTATTCACCCTTAATTATGCCAGCGAAATTGCAAGGACTACAATATTGCATGAACTAAATGGCTATAAATCCTGGAGATGCTAGACTGCCACGTTATCAGGAAGGAAAAGCTCAACCAGTTTTTAGAAAGCATGCACCTTCACAAGCCCTTTGCCTGTATATAGTCAAACGTGATATATGGAGTAATTTGTTTGAAGTTTATGAACGAAAAAATGCCACAGGTAAAGAAACATTAGAGTTACCAGAGTGTGGTGCACCTCCGTTTCCAAAAGCAACTGATGATTACAAACCACATCACCATGGAATAATTGAAGGGATAGTACACGTCAATCCGTGGCTTATGCCATTAGGATCTTATGTTTTTGCTGAAGTTTCAGCAAGATATCGATATATTAACACAGATATGGATTTATTTGATTGTGAAATAAATGAAGTTGTTTTCCAAAGGCGTAAACAGATTATACCACCGACAAACTATTTCTCAGATGAAGCAAATAGTTTAAGATTTCCACCACGTGATCTTGATACATACTCTATATATATCAGAGAACTATATGAAAAATTGGGAGGTCCTGTTAGTGGGAAAGCCATGCGTGATGAAAATTTAACTGCATCTGGAGTTTATTATGGAACAGCTAATTATTCACGTGCTAAACATACTTTTGTGCCACAAACACAGGCAACAAAATTCTCTGGGCACCCAGACCATCCTTATGTTACCTTTAAAATTCCGTTCCGATTTGATATCAATGGTAGCCCAGATTCCATATACATAAAAAGATTCCCCAAGCTAAACAAAGATGGAGAAGAACCTCCACCTAATAGGATGCAATTATTTTATCAAGCTGTATTCGGATTCGCTTACCATGAATCAGATACAGATCCTGATTCACCAAGTGATCTGTCTGATTCTGAAGAAGATTGCAAGCCAAAAATCAGGCATCCTGGAGAATCAATAAAAAAGCGTAAAACAAAGCCAAGTAAAATTAAGAAGAAAAGACAATGGGAAAAAGATTTATTTCATCCGGATGCTTACCCTTGGAAACCAAGACCCAAAAGAGCACCACGTGATGGAATTAGCTGGACTGTACGAGTATACTTCACTGACTCACCATCCGGTATACCAAAAAGTGAAAATATTGCATCTCTGAGATTTCGTAAATTATCCTACATGCCCCGAATAATTAGCATAGAACATATGGACCCACCATCTTCTAAAACTGACTATTGTCTAGCAATTGGACCTCGAGCAGGGAGAGATGCTGGTGTAATTACTTTATTAGCCAAGATAGACAGAGCGATATATTGTTATGGAGAACCCGTACAATGTGATATTAAACTACATAATTCTTCCATTAGGTTGATTCATAGTATAGTTGCTGAAATCCATCAGTGCGTGCGTTCAAAAGCTTGTGTTAATAGAATTTTGAGGACGGTGATTTGCAGTCGATCAATTACAGACTTAAGTCTAGTTGGTGGTATGCCAGTATTGCCAGGATCTGAAAATTCTCATATTAGATTAACGCTAAACCCCTGGCCAACATACGAAAGTGTTCAAAAACTTATGAAAAAACCTGAAGGACCTATAAGACCAAGCGGTTTAGCTGATCCTTCAAAAGCATGGGCTTTCAGGCTGCCAAAAACACCAGGTCATGAGTACGCATTGGAAGCCCCTGGTAGACATGAAAGAGTGCCTCCACAATACATGCAAAGACGTACATTAGCTCAGTCTACATTTAGTGGGTTATATGATTATCTGCTTTCAAAGGGAGACAATGTAACCATATTAAAGCCACTTGGCGAAGAAAAAGAAGGAAGAATTATCTGGGAAGGAAATCCACATGCTCATTGTCGTTGTACACACCATGTAAAGGAACCTGGAGAAATAAGCCGAATATATCAAATACCTCCTGAAGAACCATATTCAGCAATCATCAACTGCAAAGATGTGTATCCTGAAGACGAAGAACCTAATGAAGCAAGAGCCAGAAGAAATTTACTCCAGCCACTGTGTAGACAATGTAAATTGCCAATAAATGTTGTTGATTATCCGGTACAGGTTACATATGAGGTTGTAATACAGGCAAAACTTCTACCACAACATCTCAAAAATCCTTTATCTTGTGAATCTGCAATCAGAGAAGCAGGACTGGGCTCTGGGCTACTTATTGATCCATATGGTGATATTATAGGCCCAGATGGACCAAGAATTGTTATACCACTATTTTTGGGCTACAAATATCCACACCCTGAGGAACGTATACCAATAGCAAATTATCATGTAGACTTAAGACAAGACTGTGCAGACGAAACAATGCGAGAACCGAAAATTCACGAGCCTAGTCTTGGAAAGGGTTTCTTTATTTCCAAGACCTATCCTATAGCTCCGTGTAATATTGGAGAGAAATAAACAGTTACAATTATTTTGCATTATATTTTATCTGAAGAAATATACTTTCTTTTAACTTGTATTCTATTAAACTTGTTGAAGATCACACAAAATTACAAAGTTAGACAAAATAATAACTACTGGAGAAACATGATAGGACTAATTACAACTAGAGACTGAACCAAAGTAACTATTAAAGTGTTTTTGTCAGTAAATGGTAACATTATAATGCACTCATACTACTTGAAAAACCATGATATTATAACGATTCGTTAATAGAAAGTTTATTAATATGGTAAGGTGAAAATCAAGTAATTAAAGTATGTTCAACAACAGCCCGCATTGTAAGTGAACTTATGTGTGAGATGTATTAAATAGGTAACTGTTCTAGCGGCATATTATTTCCCTTTAGTGCACTTCGCTCATCAGGCTTGGAGAAAATTTAGGAAACGGGTTAGAAGTTTGACGTATCTTCCAGTTTAGTTATCAGAGAGCTTGTGGACAGAAGTTAACTGACAGATTGTAGGCATGTTAAGTTAATATATAATCACACTGATACTCGATTAGTGTATATAGTACACACTATCTTTCTTCATCACTGTTTTAAACTATTTGTAGTATTAATGAGTCATCCTGTGAATAAAACAATATTGTGAACCAATAGCTAATTCTATAGACTGACAAAATTTCATTACTAATCTGACATACAAAATGAGACAGTTAAATGTATGCACATGCACAACTAGACTTCCTATACGTTAGAAAAAATAATTCTATACAAAAAATGGACAAAGAAGACAGATACAGCTATCAGAGTTCTTGCACTGCATTGTGTGGGCTGTTGGAGGAATATACTACATTTATTGATTTGCCTCGACATGAATACTTGAAAAATCAAACCTGTTAACCAATAAGAGGAAAAAAAGTACCAGAGTGCAACCAAAAGACGTAGTGGTAGGTTATTTTATAACCCTGGAGATTTATCAACTCAGAAAATTTCATCCTAGTTTCTGAAACTAAGACTGTTAAATCCTGGTCTCAAGTGAAGTACTTTACCTCTTTCATATACACTCACAACACAGCTAACGTAACCTCCTAAATGTGCCTTTGGAAGATGATATCCAAAGTAGAGATTTAAGAATTCGATGACAAAGCATATCAAGTTATAGGGGATTTCGTAGTTTAAGTAAGCAAAGGTTTTAGTGTGTATAAAATAATAACTTCTAGTTGATTCCATATTAATCCTGGACACAAGTAGTCGTTAAAAAAAGTTGATGGATTCGCGTAAAGTACTTATAAAAATAAACAGCACTGTTCAATATATTCAATGGACAGCATCTGGAGAATAAGGGTTTCTGTATTTCCCAATGAATGAAAAACAAAAACCTTTGTTATTATGAATATTATATATCAAATGCCAAAATTTTTTCAAACTGTTAAAAGTGAACTTGGTTTGGACATATATAGCCGCTGAAGAATCCTACTGTACTGAAAAGCGGGAAAATCCTAAACATTCTTTGACTCTACTATGGAAACAAAAGACTTTTCAGAAGTCCCTATCCAATACCAAAGTTTGATGCGTTACAGTAAAATCATGGCTCCTTTTTGCTCAATACTACGAATACTAAAAGAGTTTCTGATTCTATATTTATTTCTGTTTCGCAAGTTTTATAAGTATTATTTTGCATATAGGATTTGTAAGAATTTCGGACTAATTTCAGTCATTAGATTTTCATCGGAAACTAACCAGCATCAGTTAAAGAGAACATTGGAAACCAGGGAGCACTGGACAGCTGTTTCATCCTATTCTACGACTCTTCATCAGCGTACAACCACAGCCCTGTCAGGGATCGAACCTTGAAATTTCAGGCTACGAAACCAAGATCGTTAACCATTCAGTTATTTTGGATTGAATTCAGTGACCCGTGGATTTTAACTTTGTCGACTCGTGACACAGCGCTGTCCTCAGTAACACCCATGACGAGCATCCACTTCACCTTGACATGGTGTACCCCACTGGTCACCACTTCCCACTGCTGCCCTCAGTGAACTGGAGATTTATATTCAGATTATAGGATTTGTGGGGATTTTGGATTGGTTTCATTTTGGGGTCCACCATGTCAAGGTGAAATGAATGCTCATCGAAGGAGTTACTGAGGATAGCGCTATATCACGAGTCGACAAAGTTAAAATCCACGGGTCACTGAATTTCACCGCAAATGACTGAATTGTCAACGATCTTGGTCTCGTAGCCTGAAGGTTCGAGGTCCGATCCCTGACAGGTTCGTGGTTGTACGCTTCTGAGAAGTCGTAGAATAGGACGAAACAGCTGTCCAGTGCTCCCGGATTTCCAGTGATTTCTTTAACTGATGCTGGTTAGTTTCCAACAGAAATCTAACAAATGATATAATTATTGTATTTACTGGTCATTTTTAAAAACATGGTTTGGAATTAACTAAAGGCCATATCGTATTCTGCTTATAATACTTTTTATTTCAATCTCATGTGGGTATTAAAGTAGAGCAGTTTTGATATTAAAGATATTTTTAAGATATTTCATGTTCTCAAAGTCTTTAAAGTGCAGAACAACCAAGATAGTTCTATTCATTAATAATTCATAGGTAATAAACTACCGCTAAGATGGTATAAGAAGGACAAAGAAAAAGATAAGAAATCAACTCATTACCATTAATCAACTTGTTATTAAGAAACAAATTTATCATTACTACAATGTACAGATATACTTAGAAACCACACTAAATTCTGGAGATGATTAGATATCCCAAAAGGTTTCTTGTAAGATACATTTTGTTCACTATTCAGTGTGATCATACATAACATGTGATGTTATTATTTCAAATACGAGCTTGACACGATAATAACGTCATCATGAGATGAGCCATACAAAGTGATAAAACGGTAAAACGAGAAAAACATATATTTTATTGAGAAAATGCTTGGTAATTGATTTAAAAACAGCTTATTTTACCGGTTTTTTCTTCCATTTTTACGTAGTTCACATGCCGTTTTGATGAAAATCACCACGTATTACTATTATATGTGCTTCATACAGTATCAAAACACACTCACTTCTGTTAAATGACCATCATTAGTTTAATTCGATGGTATTTTGATTGATATTTCACACATAAGTGCATTTAGAAATCAAATTAACCGGACTTAATTATTAAATAGAGGATTTCATCATGAGCTGACATCAGTTAGAGAACCACTGGAAAACCTGGGAGTACTGCACAGTTGTTTCGTCCTAGTTTGGGACTCCTTAGCAGTACGCACCCACCGGGGGTCGAACCCAGGACCTTCTGGTTACAAAGCGACCTCGTAGACCATTGAGCCACTGGGAACCGACCCAATGGTTTTGCCAATTCACGACATAGTGTGACCATTTCGCAATGTCTTCTGCGATGAGTTGCTGCCTCATCTTGGACCTGCTGTACCCTACTGGTCAATCCATTTCTATTTTCAGATAGTCATGAATGCAACACAAAGTTTGAATTTCGGCCTAATTGTATCACAGTACATTTTACTATTCCATTTATAACGAGTTGTTACTTTTTATTCATCTAGTCTCAGAAGAGAACTTACAAGAAGGTTCAGGGGGAAAAACCAACATATTATGTTTAACACATAATTCTATTTCATTTTGAATTTCTTCCTTCCCATTTACATTTATTTAACAATAAAATCGTTTGATTTTTGACAAATCCTTGTGTGTTGCAGAAACTGATTTGTATGGACACTGCTGTTTAAAACACTTCCAGGGTATTGTTAGTTGATAAAATACATATTAGAAAAAAACCTCAGTGTAATATATTGAATAATGGGTTTTTGTGAGACCACTGAACACTTTATCAACCTCTCAATTGGTGGCTACTATTTACTGAATGATAAAAATATTAATATATGCACTCTTCTGTCACTAATTTACCGGAAATGAACTTTCTGAAGAAAACAAATTTAATCAGCACTTCACACTGATTATTGTTAAAGAGTCACAACTTACTAGTGTAGGATTAATCTGGTGTATCACATTGACATTACAGAATGTTAAAACAACAATTTTCATAAAGTGGACAGAGAAAATTTGCATTATTTCAGAAAGTCAAGTGTACTCAATTAGACACAGAGGGTTCACTGTTATTATTTTGTATTGTAGATAATTTATACCATTCTAGAACTCATATTTTGATGTTTTGCAGTTATACCAATCCAAATCTACTTGTCAACTGAAAAGGATGTACTGGCACTTTACTGTATTTAGTGTACGCTCTTTATTGCTTACTTATTAACGCACTCAACAATTCTTGGTGACATAGTAAGTTTCATCGTGAACCAACAACAATGAGAGGACTGTTATGTTCCAGGGAGCACCAGCCGGTTGTTCCTGTTTCAACAGTACACATCCATGGCTATTCCTCGAGCTGTTAAACCTAGGACCTTCTAGTTACGAGACCAGAGACCCATGACTTTTAACTTATAACAATTCACGATACTCTAGTACAGTCACAATCGGTATCACTAGCAATTATATGTCTTCATACACGAGTTGGTGGATCCAACCAGCGATGTCATCTCAATAAAACTTTAGAAGCTTTGTTTTGAAAGTAGTTACTAATCAGTGATGGACTGACATTTGGAAGTTTGGTTAAAGGGATTTGTTCAACTTTATGGTAGATTTTGCAAAGTACCGCCATCACTTAGATAACAACTGGAGACCTGAACAGTTGATTCGTCCTGGTTTGCAGGTCTTCGTGATGGAAAAGCTATCCACTGGCCCTTAGTTTACAATAGTTTTTTCCCTGATACCAGTTCTTCGTGAAATCTATCCTGAAACCAAACAAATTATCACCAACCAAACTTCTGATCTCTTGTGTAAGTAATCAGTAGCACAGAAAACCACATTCATATTTAAAACGAGATGACAGAGAAAGAACAAAAAATAAAAAAAGAGTTAACGTATCAGAATACTTCTGTAACAGCCAATCACTTATGAGCTGATGGAAAAATAATTAAACAAATAAACTCACAGGTAAATAATCTTTGCTGTAACACTGAGGTTTTCCAATTGAAAAGTGGCCCCATGTGTGGAAAGTGGATTCAATTAATTTGCCACCTTCTATTGTTTCAATTAATCCTTGATAAAGACGTGCAACTTCAGTAGCCATTTTTGAATTCGGTGAACAAACTGGCCATGTCTTAGAATTCATTGTTGGTGAGCTACACAATTCATTTTGTGTAGGCATTGTTTTCGATAAATCATTCGG